CGAAGGCATTTATCATTATCTTTGTTTGGTATGTTTTCGATCGTACGCAAACTCTCGACGCAAAGCAATTTTCCACCATGAGGTTTTTCAGCACGATTTAACCTGGAACAACTTCTTCAACATAACAGGTCATGTCTTTCATTAACCAATCAAAATGATGTGTCGTAATGATGAAATTTTCCGATTATTGACGATGATTTTTTAATGCAATCCGGTGAATCACCGCAATGTTAAAATGCGATCTGTAGCACTGATTGCAACGAAAAAACGATGATTTTTTCCCTAAAAACTGGCGATTCGCAATTTCCGAAATATAAATGACGGTTAATAGTAACCGTGGGTAAACTGAGTGTGGAGGAAGAATTTAGACACCTTTCTCGGTCGCCAACATGTCTCATCGTTCAAACCCTAGGCCTTTCATGATAGTCTCAAAGTAAACCATGCCCAATAACCAGGTACACAACTTAACGATCACATTTTTGGCTTTTCGAAAGCTACTACTCAAAGAAATAGGGATTACTCCAGAATTGCAACATCGGGGTTCATCCTGAGTGAATGACAGAATAGAAAGCATGCGAACCACGTTGTGTACGTTCGCCATGCACTCTGAAATTAATGCGAGTTTTCTCATAAAACTAAAAGCATGAACCAAACTACCATGCCATTCACGATTATTATGAAATGAGACACACCTTTTACACGCATATTATAATTGATAAATACCAATTAAAAATATAGGGATGGGCTTCATACTTGAGAGGGACTTACGATCGGGGAAGTACGGTACTTTAACGCAATTGGGCTTTCACTCCCAGAATACTGTGGTTCAAACGCATAAGGCTCTAACCCAAGTTTTAAAAAGCACATTGTGCATATAAAAGTTGAGTTTATACTAATAGTACACAATGCTTGGCAGCATGAACAATGTACAATGGCGTATACGAATGTGATCAGATACTAAAACGTCATAGCTTTAAAAAGTACCCGGATGTGAAATATGTTCGTTCGTTATTTATTCTCCTCCATGAATGGCCTCCATGGTGTTTAATTGCAAGCACTTCAAATGCCTATCCAAGCTACAGTTATAATTAAAACAAAATTAAACCACTGCAATATTATTTCGAATACACACAACTATAAATTAAGCCCACATTTAGGTTCGCTTTAATTGTTTCTATTGTGATATATATGTTCATCATATGTTTAGACATTTAGTTGGGAGAACACTGAATACCATTATTTTTGTAGGAATATAAATACCTGGTACAGTAAACCCTCTTTTTTATGATGTCCAGGCTTCCTTTTGAGGCCTTTAATAATGCTTCCAAATTTTTGTGATTGAAATGCATAACAAGCTCCTGACATTCTTCTTGGAGGAGCTGTTCTTCTTCAGCAGTTAAAGACATAGCAGATGCTAATTCAACATTAGAACTTGTATCATCTTCTGACTCAAGTTCTTCTGCAATATCAATTAGAAAAAACAAAATGATAAAAAATAGGTAACTCTAGTTAGTATGTAGACCAAATGACTATTATTAAAATGCGATTCACTTTTAGCAATTTTCATCAAATGTTAGCTTTCTTGATAAATGGAAAACAGTGTTCCATTCTAACTAATACAAAATCAATTACCAGTAAAACATTTTCTTCAACTTGTGTATAATACTTAACATGGCAATGCCTGCTTGAAGATTGTGATGACATATTGATGAAGTCAGCATTGGTCTAATTTTTGTATTAAAAAAAACAAAAATGACAATGCCGGTGAATTTTGAAAGTCTCTGAAATTTAATATTGAGTCAGCATTTGCAAACATCAATTTCTGAAATATCAGTCTGTTCTATGGAGTTAATATCTGTACCTTCATTGGGAATTACATCACAACTAACATCTTTGGTTTTAGAGACAGCAGTATGTTGAAGCCTGACTGACAGAAACAACTCAATTAATTCATCAACAGCTTCTTCTATCTTCTTACTCATAGCATCAAGAGTCTTAGCACAACTTTCTGTGTGTGACTGGTTTAATCACAAGTGATTGGAAGCAAGAGTCAAAAAATAACACAAGTTATATGTACATACTGCAACTATACAAGCCTTATATCTTCTTATTGCACACATTTTTGGTAGCAGTGAAGCATGCCACATACAGAGTTTAATTTGCACATACTGTTTTTAACACACAAATGACAATTAATGGCGCAATATTGAACTCATTTCAACTTGTAGTGTGAAAAACTAATTTAAGCACAATACCAGCAAATAACACATAATTATTGCTGTAAGCTATTATAATGATTTTTTCAGCTTTGTTTAGCCAAAATGACACTGCAATGTAGACTGTCAGATACGTAGAAAAAACATTATCAAATTTGACCTCACTCGACCAACCACCCACTGACCACTTCAAATGATTTCTATCAGAAATTGAGAAGAAACGAATCATGGAATGCATTTTAGGAAATGTAAATATCATAGGAGGGTAGAATATATATATTACAAAATAAAATATATATAAATATATACAAAATTTTTAAAAAATGTATATGTACTTACTTGGAATGTCTTTAACCATTCATTAATAGTCCAAGGATTATCTTCAGGTAACTCACATAACATAGTTTGACTCATTTCTTTGAGAACAGAATCAATACGAGTTTCTCGAATATCATTCACCTGTTGAAGTTAAAAATTATTTCATTAATTCTTATTTTTATTATTGTTATTGTTTAATTATTTATATTTTGCCAGACAAATATTAGTGGTGGTAATGGGAGTAGTGAATTTGACTAAAAGTATTTTACAAGCAAAGAAGTTATAGATTATCAAAACCAAGTTGTCAGTTATAACATCAGCACAAATTTGGAATATATAACCAAAGAAATACAGCTTTAGAGAGTCAATTATATCTTCTTCAACAATTTATGTTATGCAAATACGTCCGTTTATGAAATAAACAAGTCATTGAAAATGACACAGTCCTCGTTAAATTAAGTTCTCTTTGTGCTCGTCATATTGAAGTGGAGGGGTTGTCGCGAGCGTGTCCTTGAAACTTTAGTTCCAAGTGG